CTCAGAGCTGTGCAAAACACGATCAAAATATCCTTTACAAAATGCAAAATAGCCATAAAATATATTTTATCTGTAAAGTATAAAGTGGCGAAGAGAGAGTATATCTGAACATTGAAATTGAACAATGAGAACACACACGAATCGTTATAATAAAAAGCATTAAAAATTCTTATTTCAATTAAATACAATAGGAAAAGTTTTTATGTTTACTATTTCTTCAAAATATTCACAAATTAATCAAAGATTCATGTATTTTAGATAAAGTATTGTATGTTGCATAGCTCTGATTATAATTCAACTATTTTACTTGACTTGCATATTGTTTCCTTTTACATAAAATATAATTTTGTTTAAATAATACATCAAATATTCGTTGCATTTGCAGTTTAATTACAACAACGTCTGTTATGTGGATTCAAGAGGAAAATCCATGGTTAACAATTGATACAATTCTTATGGCTGTACTGCTTGGGTTGCTAGGAACGCTATTTGTTTTAATTGTGGCCATTATCATACATACCGTCAAGAGCAATAAAAATTAAACATAATGTGTATATTCTTCCTTTCTATTTAAGTTTAAGCGAAGCTTAATTCTAAAATATAAATATCTCCATGTTAAAGAATAAATTAATTAAAAAAACGTTCATATCTTTATTCTCATTTTTGTTAAGCTCATTTTTTGTTAATGTAAATGAAAATGCAATACAAAATTAGAAAATCTCAATGTTTTATCGTCTATTATTTAAGAGAAAGAGGAAAGCAATCTTGATATCTTTGAAAAAAATGTACGGTGAATATAGAATTACTTTTATTACAATATAAATCTCTTAAAACGAAACATTTTTCTTTTTAATAATTTAAGACATTTAGGAAAGAAGTTATAATATATGTGTGAGCAACTTAATTACCCTGTATTCTTGTGTAAAATTTTTCAAATATAACACGAATGTATACATGAAAAATGTCGCATTATAATAAAGCTGTGCCATGTAAATCTTTCATGATAGGACCGTTCCTATAAATATTAAAGCCGTCTTAAGTTTAACTGTATAGTTCTTTTAGAAAGTGGGAAACACGATTAAAATCTTAGTTATCTTTAACTAATTATGCATGGTTATGGAAATGATTCATACGCACAAATACAGAAAATTATGTGAATGCGATATTTAATCGTAATAATACGCTATTCAATAATAATATCAATAATAGTAAAATATAATAATGCGTGGCGTGTGAAACAATGAACATGGCAACTACCATCACAATGACAGTGACAATGATAATGATAACAACGACATGATAATAGCGCGTATGATGACAACTGTTACACATATATTAATAATTGTGATAATCGACTGTAAACTTTCTTACGACTTATGACTTCGAGACGTAAAATTGCGACTGAACAATTAATCTACCTAATAGTAACATGCATTTATATATGAACGTTATAATAGTAGTTATAAAGTTACGAAATTAATAAATCAGCTGCATTTGATTTGTCGCAAATGTACAGTTAACAAATTTTAACGTAATTGCTATCTGTTAGCTTGATTAATCCGTTTAGATCTATCATACCACTATTATGCTTCGTCTTTATGCAAAATTACTTACGTAACAATTAATAATCTTTGAAACAGAAATGGGTAAAATTGTAATGAATCTGTTGGTAATCATCAAATGTAATTTAATTAATTTTACATTTGTTAATTACGCGTTTGCAATGGGCCACTAAACAGTTATTACTTATGTGTATAGCTTGCAGCTAAAAATAAGACTGATGATTGGAAAAGATTATAAATGTAGTTATTGCGATTGGTTAATACCAATTGGCGAATAAAATGATTGTCATTTAGATAATTCGCGGACGGAGAAATGCGAGTGAAACGCATATTGCAACAGATGATATCACTACAACGAGAAACATTAAATTAATGTGTTATTAATTTAATATAGTAACAATAATAGTAATAATGTAATAATAATATAACAGTAATAATAATAATCTTTCAAAAGGAGATTTTAAAATAATAGAATATTATTCGAAATAAAATATTAAAAGATAATATCTCTAACCATGTAACAATGGTATTCTATATAGGAATGATAGTTGTATAGTAAAGTTATAGTAGTAGGAATAATAGTAGGAGTGATGATTGCAGGAGTAATAGTATAGCAATATAGTAACAGAATAGTATTAGTAATAGGAATAAAAGTAATAGTAATAATAGTAATAGTTGTAACTAGCGTGATAATATTTTGCACTAAAAATCGGCAATGTTGATAAAAGAATAAATTAATCGATATTTAATCGACAGAAAAACTCACGATGTGAATTTGCACAACCGTTATTTTACGGTGCATTTGATGTGCCATGCGATATAAATATTTTCTGGATATGTTCTCTTTCTTTCTCTCTCTCTCTTTCTCTCACTCTCTCACTCTGTCTCTTTCTCTCTCGATATATATTCTATATGTACAGCGAGACGCACGTTCTACCTGAACACGTCATTACTTAGATATTTGGAGAAGTACATTATCTTTTTCAGCCCTAGATAAGAAAATAGATTAATAAGAATTTTACTACCTGCTTCATTTTGCATTACTCATTCTTGAGTTAAAAGGGAGTGAGAATTGAGCGGTTTCTTTTTTTTTTATAACGAGCTAAACTCTTTACGAATTCAACAACGTAAGAAAAATATAATGTCTAAAATGTTGTTCCTCATTTTAGACAAATATAATTATAATGGAATCTTAGGAGTTTGGCTGTTAAGATATTTTTCTAGCGTAGTAAATAGAAATTAAATTATAAAAATAATGGCTTTCTATAAAACTTCTTCTAAGGACATCTCGACTCTTCGAGAAATCTCTCTTTGAAAAGGATTATGCGCTAGATCGGAAACGTCCCGTGTATTACGTATCTAAAAACGCGTATTCTTTCTATTTTTCTCTTTTTCTTGTCTTGCCCATTCTTCATTCAGTCTGCTATATTTCGTTATGTTTATCTTATTTTTCTCTTTCTATTCATTTTCCTATTCTTCTTCCTATTCTTGCGTTTCTTTTATTGCATCCCTGCGGAATCATCGTTTTGTTGCACGGATTTTTCGAAAACGTACGACAATCTACGAAGATCCATGGCGAGGAATGAGCGAATCGTCGCGGATTGCTGTCTCTACGAAAGGCACTAATATGATAGTTTATCACAGAGTCTGTGCGTGTATGTGTGCGCGTGTATGTGATTGTGTGTACATGTCCCGACACGTGTCGTTTAGATCGAATTTTCTTAGATCCTGCGTTCTAGATCTTCGTGGAGAAGACTGTTGTTGTTGGTCTCGTGAATCGACGCGGGGGATGATTCGTCCGGTTGTTCGCCCCCGCTTAATTCTAGTTGGCCGGTACTGTCACCGCTGCTGGAACCGCATTCGCCATCGACAAATCTGAAAAAGAACATTTTTTTGTAAATATACATGCAGAATGTTTCATTTTGATTATACATGTCATATGTGTCAGTGATTTCGTCTATTTTAGAAAGATATTTTAAATAAAAATTTCAAGAAATCACAGTTTTTAAAGAAAAAAATGATGCATGCAGTAAATTTTTCATATCACGCATTTTTTTTATAAAATATATCGTCATTAATATTTTTTTAAATCAAACCACAGTGTTTTCTTTATACATATATAACACTTTTATTCTGTATAACAAATCAAACTAACAAAGGCTCCTTATAAATCAAAATTGTCCTTATTCTTTCCAATTTCTTGTCCAATTTCTTTTGACTTTTATTCTGCATGTAAAAATATTAAGATTATCAAAAATTAATAGATAATTTAGAGGATACTTTAGATTTTATATTGACATTTCTGTGACACATTTAAAATATAAAATCTCATAAAAATATTTATTTTTCGATCTTATTTTAATATCTTATATAAAATATTTATATAGAATATTCATCTTCTATTTTTTTCTCTTTATTTAGTTCTTCACATATGAATTGTTTAATTCTAGTATAGCGGATAATTATTTCACGCTGTGTTGCGATTTAACAAAACACTGGATTAGAACAATACTCACGTGTACGGCTGTTCTTCGCCGCGCATCTCGCATATGACATTCGTCAGTGCTATTATATAATTTTTAGCCAACGTGAGCGTTTCTATCTTGCTGAGCTTCCTCTCCATTTTTACGTGTGGTATTACCTCGCGTAATTGCTGTAAATTATAACCGGGAGAAGTGGATTGAAAGTCTATCTACATCAAGTCGCATTCGCGATAAATAACGGCTTGCAATCTAATCAAATATGGTCGAAAGTTGATACATTTTTAATGATGCTACGCATGATTAGTCAATAAGAGAATTGCTTATCGAATAGAGCTGCAGTTGCGAATTGTTGTCATTTATCTTCACATAAATCAATTTTTTACATATTGTTAACGTTTGCATTTCGTCGTTTAACGCCAATCAACAACGTTTTGCATAGTAATAAGATGATCGTAATACAATCAAGTTAAATAAACAAATCGTCTTTTTTTAGCATTAGAAACAAATATTAGTAAAAAAATTACAATATTTTTAACTACAATATTTTTCAAATATTTTATTACCAAAGTATTTTAAATAAAAGAAAGAATCCTACTTCCAACCGAAGCGGATTTTAGTGCTTGATAATAACAAATAATAATAATAATAATAATAATTTGTTTATCTTATTTGATTTTATTGGTCTAATTTCTACTTATAAATATTTTAAATATATAGCATTTTTTTTCGTTGCTCAGCAATTCCGCAGATTGACGTGTTTATGGGACAAAAATCGATTATACTTCATTATTTTCACTCTTATTGTTCGTGATTTAATGTTCCGTAGCGAAAGTTTCTCGTTCTTCGAAAGTTTTTAGCAAAGTTCGTCGCGCTCGTCGACGCGACGACGAAGCGAAAGCTGCCCGAGGAAGCAATAAACTGTTACCTCAAAGGCATCGTTGAGGGAGTGCATTCTCATTCTCTCTCTCTCGTTACTCTCGAGCCTCCTCAGGTTCCTCTCCCGCGCGGAAATTCCGCTTTTCCGTCTCCTCGTGGTCGGCGCGCTGCCGCGATTTTTTCTCTTCGCCTGCTTCGGACTCCTCTCGCTTCCGCTGCTGTCGCTCTCCTCGCCCACCTGTTTTCGTTCGGTTCATAACAGAATAGATCTTCGTCAAATATTTGCTCTGGTGTTTCATAGCCCAGCGCGAAGATACGAGCGAATCTCCATTTGAAAACTTCCCACAAAGAAACAATTTACGATTCGAAAATTGCTGATGTATTTGCGATTCTCAATCCATTCAAAGAACACAGAGCGTTTACAAATATCTGTACAGCGCGTCTTTTTATTAGCTTTAATTATGTTTTATGCATGACACGGTAATATAAATCTTTTCTTATGATGTAAATTTTTTGTTTCGTTAAATTGATTTCAGTAACGCTTGAAAAAGAATATGAATAACTTTTTAATTTACTCTAAATTTTTTTACTGTTAATTTAATATTCATTTTTAATTATTTTTTATAAGAAAAATGATTATTTTACAAATGTATTTTAAAGTTGTTATTCACAGGTGCGTCTATATCCGAATATAATCGACACAAGCAAAGGTGATTATTTTAATGCGCGATAACGTCTTACATAATAATATTTTCTAATCTAATCTAACCGAAGATCTTACCGTGCTATTTTCATCAACAAAAGAACTTATTTAACCTCTTTACCCCCTTATCCCTTTAACAATGCGTTTCGAGGATATTTGTCTAAGCGATAAATGCTGATAGATAAAATGTTAGCAATTTTCTTCGGCGCTGCATAATGCTGATAAAAAAAAATAATTTACTCAATTTGGATAACTGATAATGAGAGACATTTGTTCCACGTGTATTACATTCAACGGTTTTTGCTTTTAAAACTAATTTAAAACTAATTTATTACCTATTCGTCGAATTCGGTTCGCAATCAACTAATTTTGTTTATGTATCGCATTGCACTAAACATTGTATTCGTGTCTCATTGCAAATTATCTATTTCGTTATGCTACAAATCAAAAAGCGCCGGAAAAGCCTGAATCTTATCAAATCGGCATGATAATAAAGAATTATGTGGGTCGAGTATCTTTTCTTATTCGTTGTAAATGCTTACGGAACTTTAAAAGCCTGGGGCGAGATAACGCGCGTCATAGAGTGCGATAAAAAGGGAAACGAGAGAGAGAGAGAGAGAGAGAGAGAGAGAGAGAAAAGAATAGGTGAAATACCTCCGCGACATGGTGGCGAGTACGTTTGCCGGTAAGCGAGTCAACGGAGGCGTCGTCCAGGTCGATGTACATTTCCCGATCACCGCAGTCTTGGTCGCTACCCGATAGCCTATCCAGGCTTCGCATTATTCCGATCAAAATCACAGCTCGATCCCTCTGTAACAGATCGCATTATCTTCAAAAATGCGTAGGTGCTAGAAAAATACTAAAAAAGAAAGCAGGAAATGCTCTTCTTACGCAAATATCGTTGCAGTTCTTCCTATCTTTTTCATAATTATAAACGACAAAAAGTAAACACAAGCTTGTAATAAATGATGAGTGGAAAGAAGCAATTAAAAGTCAATATCTTTAATTAACTTCTTATGATACTGTAGCTATATAATGAAAAATATTAGATATATGACGAGGATTAAATTACATCATGTTTACAGTGTCTGTTATAAATATAGATATGTTTATGCAAGATAAAATAATAATGTTATTCAAGATTTCGAACAAGAAAAAATGATATGTTATTATATACTTTATAAGATTTATATATTTGAAATATATATGTGAAATAAAAATAAGATGAAATATAGAATCACATTATAATGAACAATGTTCGTGATAAACTACGTCTTACGGGATGCATATAATGCAATAATTTACGTTACGATTCATTGCCGAGAAAAAGTTGTAGAATCATCTATCAAGATTAAACGTCATTACCGATGCTGACGCTAATGTCTCGTTCGACGATTCTGAAATACCCGACTACCAGACTATAAGTCACGATGCTGCTTCTTTAAAACATTGGCTCTGTTAATGCGAGCAAAGCGAGATGGAAAAAGAGAAAGAGAGAGAAAGAGAGAGGTCAACACGAGCACGTGTGGGAGATGATATTATCAAATCGGGGTATCCCGTTTTTCCTGCTTTGCTCCTCAATGCCAAGAATTGCCGCTCGCGTCCACGTGCACATGTCAGATTGGACCAATCCGGCTGTCAGAATCGAGACCGCGCGGTGATTCGAGGTGGATGCGAAACACGACTTCTCCATGGCTCTTACTTTCTCCCGCTATCGAACGCTCATGCGATTGCTCTTATGATATTACGATTTCGTCAAACCTTAACGCGTAAACGCACGAACAGTAATACAGTCAGATCGGGCTGCCTATGAGATTGAGCAATACAGTAGAGTTGCATAATGCACGATATTATCGGGAATAATTAACTTTCGATTTTTCAACCCTCTTGATGTTTCTCGAAGGAATTCGTATGCAACGCCAAATTTTCTGTAGATTCCTTCATTTTAAATTGAACATTGAAAAAAGAGTCTAATAGCTGTCAAATGTTGAGCAAAATAATTTCAATGAAATGTTCCATTAATGTAATCAAAAATAATTTTACTTTTTTATAAATATTTAATAATTATTACTAAACGATTAGTTTGGTATTATATTATTATGTTTGGTAATACTTATTAAATATTTAGAAGAGTATAATTATGTTTAGTTATATTAATATTTAGTTATACGAATATTTGATTGAAATTATTCCACTTAACATTTGGTAGCTATTCCCAAATAGACTCCTTTTTCAGTGTACGCTAAAAAAAAATAATAGAATGCGTGCTTTTCCCGTATTAATATTTTTCGAAAATAAAAGTTACAAAATTACATTAACATATTAATTATATCAATATATTTCCTTGTATATATTCCTGGTATATTTCGACACTTTCTTTATTTTATTTACTTGATATCTTTCACATCGAATTAATATAAAGTTTACGCCAAGTGTTTCACAACATGTAATTGCGACACGTTCATTTAGGAACATGTTAATGCGATTGTAATTAACCATCGAGTGGATACGTCGATAGCGAAAATTTGCAGCCCCACGCACATTCGATTCGTAAACGCATGCTCGTATTATGTTAACGCACGCAATATTGCCAGCAAGCATGACAAATCGACCTACAATCGCAAAGTGGCGAAATACCGTTTTACGCGAAATACAAAGCGCAATTTTTCAGGACACTTTTCTATCGCAACAATGATACGTAAATTTTGCGAGAACACGCTGCATAATAACAAAGTCGTTTCTCTATCTTTTAATAGGTCGTATCCAATATCGATAACTCTGCTGCAATAACTTATCGTAACTCTATTGCCGTCCTTCTCTGGCGCACGTTTTTATTTTTTACGAGTTATATATATATATTATATATATATATATATGAATATGTACGAATCATGTATTTTATATATGTATATGTGTGTGTGTATATGTATCGATAATAAATAAATTATTATACATATGTATACATATACTGTAAAAAAGAGTCTGATTGTATTAATAGGAATTTTGGTTGAAAATAGACAAATCAGAATTTTCTGGTTGAATCTATTATAATTCTAGTTGAGGTAATTAGAATTTTGATTGATATGATTATAATTTCCTGATTTATTTTCAAACAGAGATTTTTCTCAATGTATATACACGTATTATAAATTATATATATATATATATATATATGTGTGTGTGTACCTATGTAAAATACATGATGTATTTTTATGTAAAAATCATATAACATATTGTATATTTATAATATATGTATTAGAATTATATAAACATTGCGATAAGAGTTTTAATACTTTGCACATAAACGTGGAGAAACTATTAAAAGTTCTAATACTTTTATCAAAACGTTTTTATTGGAGACCATTCGAAAACAGCACGCCATTTTGATTACCATTTATTCGTATTATCGAGCATTAATTTGCTTTTATTATCAGCGCAGATATACTCGGCGCTCTTGATGCGTGAAGAGAAAAGTATCCGCTTATCGGATAAAGTGTCAAGGGCAATGTAACAGCGGCAGGAAATGTTCGATCTCATGTTTTAATTTTCTGGACAATTTTGGCGGACGCGCAGTGTATCATCAAGCATATATTCATTGTTGATGACGCTCGTTATGTATACGATCGAACGATCTCTCCAACAATTAACGCCGTACGATAACCTTCGAGTGCCACGTTATGATTTACGGTGGCGTACACCGTATCCGCCACGCCGCCTCGCTACGTAAGCTATCCGAGTAATCTGACGTTTGAGTTTTCTTCAGGCCCATAAAGATGTACCGAAATTCTTCGAATGTCGTTCGTGACACAGTGCGGGATTATTTATTTTTTAAATAATTTAAATCTATCGCTAAAATCGAATTTATATCTTGTTCTTCTTAATTAAATTGCCTTTAATTTCAAAAGAATAGAGGACACGTGTTGCGGGAAAAGCTATGGAAACTGTACTTTGAATTCTTCTGTATCCCAAGGAATACGTCAAGTCAAGAGAAAAATGCCTTTATCTTGATGTCACAAGAGTCAAAGTGATGATTTTTTTTTTGTTATAAAATTTGACTGTTTATTGACATTAAGAATCAAAATAAAATCATATCGATTTTTTTGTCGATTTTTGTGGGTTCCTCGGGTATTAATTCTTCTTCCTCTTTACATCGAGATTGCACGCGCGCGTTAGAAAGCTCTTCGCAATCCGTAAACGAGGCCCCTCGATTGAACGTCGTCGAAAGAACGTTGCGGTTCCGGATCGCGAGCGGCCGCATTCCGGGGCGGCGCAAAAGTGCGGACGTGTTCGTTCCTCGCTCGCTCGTTGTCTCTCGCCCGGGTGTCGCGAATGTAAAAATGTGTTATTTACCTCGCCGGTCGATTATTCTCCATCAGTGCCCCGTGTAAGTGCGGCGAGTGCACGCTCACTGAGAAACTGGCGTCTGGCAACTAGCGCGCTTTTCCGCCGCCGAACGTCCCGCACACTTTTCCTTTCACACGACACTCACTTGATCTTGCCACTAAATCATCATTCGTTACTTAGCCCGCGAGCCCGCTGCCTTCGACGATTATCAATGACGCTTTGTCTGTCGCGATCGATGCTGTCAATTTCAACTCGTAAACAGCAACGACAATTATCGGCGATCACGATAAGGAAAAATTTAAAAAAATAATTAAATTATAAGAAACAGAAAGAGGGAGAAAAGAGGAGAGAAAGAAGGACCCGAATATCACTGTTATTCAGCACAATTGCAAATTTCTCGTTTCGAGAAAGGATGAGAGAAAGGGAAGAAGAGAGGCTCCGGCAAAACGCGTATCCGAAAAAAATCAAGAGCGATAATTTTTATCAGCGACTACATATACCGATATAGTCAGGGCCGGCCGAGCGCCCAATGCGGACTGACTATAACTGTAAACGATCACTTGTCGGCGAAGTGAGCGAGGAGGCCCCACCGGCTTCCCTCGGGGCCTCCCGCCACTGGCATGAATATACTCGTGCGACAACGTGCCAGCATATACCGAGAGCAGCATGCCGGCGTACACCGAGAGGTATCAGCGGACCACCTCGCGGCTCCCACCAAACCAGTTCCTACTCCAGAACCGCTTCCACCTGCTCTATCGCGCTCTGAATATGCTCCGAATATGCGCCCGGACGCGCCCGGCCGATTACCCGGCCGAAAAAAAACCGAAAAGGAACCTTTCGTGGAATCGCGAACTAACATTTAAAGAGCGAGCACTCGCATCGGTAATCCTTTTTATTCCCCAATCTCTCTCTCTCTCTCTCTCTCTCTCTCTCTCTCTCTCTCTCTCTCTCTTAACCTGATCCTTTGAGTTCTCCCGGATTAAGAATGTTCTGATTTTGTAATCTTTATCATATCACGTGCGATTGGCTGCTGGTTTCATTAGAAGACTTTTCCTTTCGATGGACGGCGTTTGTTTGTTCTCTCTTTCTCGCTCTTTTCCTTTTATTCTTTTTTTTTACATTACCAGGAAGTATGACACTTGACGTTATGTAACGCGCAACTTCCGCAAAAATGTATGGAAACCTGTTGCGCATTTATCGTCACTATAAATAAATTGTCGACTACCCAAACATATCGTGCGCTTCTTCCTTCAGATGTTTTTATCGTTATTTTTTAGTTTGTGACAGTTTTAACTTAATTGTTATTGTGAGGAGATATAATTATCTGTAAAGTGTCGAGCTGATTCTTCAGCTGCTTTAGAATCAATTTTTCTTCGCGTTGATGTCGAAGCACTTCTGACTATCAATTAATTATCGTGATTAAAAATAAAAGGCTTTTTTTTAACACAAATTAACTTTGAGGAAAATATTTTCCGTAATCCATAATTTTTTAATAAACTTCAAGGCTTTACTTTAAACCGTGATTTAAAAATTAATCACAAAAAGTATACAAAATTAGGAAAATGTAAGAAACTATTATTTTTTTCGAATTATATATTATCTTGAAGTTGTCTAAAGAAAGAAATTGAAAAATAAATAAGTAATTTTCCTCTTGTATAATTATTGAATACAAGAGTTAAATACAAATGATATTTAAAAATATATCAAGTGTCTTTGCAAAAAGACTATTGGAATTAAAAATTAGATTTTCTATATAAAAATGAATATTATGTACATATGAAATAGTTCAATATTAGAGATGATCAAAATTAATATTTACCCGGGAAAAAATGTTTCATATATAATCATATATAATTATATAAAACTATATAAAATTATACATAATTATATATAAAATATGTCCGTTTATACAACATTTTTTCCCGGGATATATTTAACAATACAGTCTATTTCTTATTGAAATAATTTTTGTTCTAAATTATAAATCACTGCCAATTTTGTATTTTATATAAATTAATGTCTTCTATTCTACGTCGTAAAAATGCGTTCTTATAATATTATTACAATCCGTAAGTAACTCCTATCGGAGTTTCTCGTGGCTCCTCGTTCGAACCGGTTCCTGACGATCCGAAAAAAAAACTGTTATCTTTGAAGCCACGAATCTCCTGGCCGAGAACCGTACGTTGTGCGACGCTGCAAAACGTGTCGCCACGCTGGTTGCGCACAATTGCAAAAAAAAAAAAAAAACAAGAAATAGAAACGGATCGAGAAGAATACCAATGTAGACTGCTTGTTTTCGTCAAGCGACGTTCTTCGAAAAACGCGAGAACGCATCGTCGACGGCACTCGTCGACGGGGCGCAGCGAGAATCCGAGATCAGGATTTCGCTTCCTAACCGGAACACTTTCGTCGCGCTTGCTTTCTAGATCGCCGCCGATAGATCGTCCGGCCGAAGGCGTTCCGCGACATAACGGTTTCCTGCCCGGCTGAATCGGTCGAACGTTGCATGAACCTCCGTTCGTTGTCCACAGCCGATGATCACGCATCGGTCAAGGCCCCTCTTCTACCTTTTCCACTCCGCTACCTTCTTCCACATTTGTACGGGCGAGCCACCTTCACCTTCTCTCCAGCACCGTGTCGTCCTTTTCTTCTCTCTCCTCTCCCTCCCCCTCATCCCCCTCCCTCTCTTCCTCCCTCTCCCCTCTCACTCTGTCTCTCTCTTTCTGTTTCTCTTGTTCTCGTTTTTTCCCCTGCCTTTCGCGCCGCGCTCCGGCCGACAAATGAGGGAAAATGCGTTCTACGTTTAGCTTGAGTTACGCCGAGGTGAGAACAATACGTTCTTACGTCAGAACTAACGAACGAACGAGCGAGCGAACGAATGATGAACCGGACGATTACGCCTGTAACGATGATGTCGCCCGCAGAAACACCCGTGACACGCGAGCGCGCACCGTAAGTCTTCGTGATGTAATCCATTACCGAATCGTAAGATAACGTTCATTCGAAATGCCGAAATTTAACCGAATTGACATCCCGCCAGCGGATGATGCTAATATATGTCAAACAACGAATAAATAAATACATAATAACACGATACGCAATTGTGTTCGCCAATGTGTAAATGTACACATACTTGATATCTCTATCTAAATACGTTTCATGAAATTCTGTTAATTTATTATTGCTCTCATGAGTTCTTCACTTAAACTTCAGTGAATCAGTTAATCTCTGAATTATCGATTAAGAGAAATAAACCTATTTTTGGTCAAAGCGGATTTTATTAGTAGTGTTTAAATATTTTCGAGTGAATTTATATTTATATACATATCCAATTCAAATCGCGCGCCAAAATCTTTTTCGGTCTTGAAACGCAATTATGAACAGAACTAGATCTAAATTAGTCTCCAAAGACAGGGCAAACTTACCTATTGAGATTTTTTTCTGAAAAGGCTTGCTTATTTGCTTTTATTGTATGCGAATGTAGGAATCATACGGTTCTCTGACTCCTTGCTCGACTTATAACGCTAATTCGACTCCTACATGGACTTACTGTGAAACAAAAGCGCCCCGAATCTCAATGGCAATTGCGTTATTGGACCGCCCGGTTGATATTGAACGCACCACGACGTCAGGACAGCACTCGGTGCTCTCTTGACTCGGCAAGAATTCAACTGAAAACATATTGATACACACCTTCTTTTCTGCATGCTCTCGTCGCGGCACAAGAGCGTGCCTTGCATTGTTGTCGCATTGTCCCAGGACAATGTTCGGCCCGTATAAAAAGTTACCGACTTTAACTTACACCTGGTGTCTTAGAACTAGAGCAAAGTACGCACCGTTTCTCACAAGGTGCATTTGCATATAATACTTCAGAAAATAAGAACACCGAGGACGATCAACGTCTTTCGGAAATTTCAATGTTCAATAGTGTCTAATTAACCTGATGAGTTACAAACGAAAGTTTTATCAAGGGAAAGTCCCTTTTAAATATGACCTATTATACTTTAATCTGTGGGAATCTCAACTCAAAAAGAATCCTTTATTTTCTACCTAGACAGTACATTAATGTCTCGTTAGTTTCAGTAACATGAATCATTTTGAAATTTAAGAACGTGGAACGTTATTTATTTACATTCTAAGACATTGTATTAAGGCTCTTGAGTAGTCAACGCAGCCATATATTGACATCAGAAGCAAGAATGACACGTTAATTTTTGTTATGTGTCATTTGTAAATAAAAACAATTTTATAATACAAATGATGACTACGCTTTAAAACATTTGTAAAAATGGACAAAAATTATGCTTATCTCCCTTAACAGTCAGTAAATAATCGTAACAAGTGATTAAAGTCACGTGTAAATGAAAATGGTCTACGCATGCGCATTGAATAAAAGCACTTGATAAAAATTAACGTGTTATTTCTAGCTTCTGACGTCACGATTCAATATAGCTGTGGTGACTATCCAGGAACCTTAATTAATGCTGTTATGTGCGTATTTGTTTATCAAAATTGCACATATTTTGACATAAATAAGTAATACAACAGCATGATCTTTTCCGTTAAGCTTCTTTTTCTTCACTATGTATATTTTCACGGAAAGAATAGTTTTGGTGAATCATTTAAAAATTTAATTTGATACAACTCTAAAAGTAATTTTGTTGGACTATCAAAATAATTAGGGACGCTCAAATTGGTTATTAAAATGTAAAAACTTTTTGCATTATTGTTCATTATGTTTGAGTTTCCTATATAATTATTTTGATAGTCCAACGAAGTTATTTTTGATCTTAGATAAATTTTTTCCGTCCTTTCCGCGTTGCAACATGCAAATACAAAAATGAATAATCACGATTCACATACCTTGGCGATAAAGAAGTACTTGATGATATTCTTTTTATAATGAAGATAACTCATTTTTTTCCTAATTACATTCATATATATATATATATATATAAAGCTATACATTCTTTTTATAATGAAGATAACTTATTTTTTTCCTAATTGCATGCTTATATATATAAAAAGCTATACATTCTTCTCATAATGAAGATAACTCATTTTTTTCCTAATTGCATATACACATAAATAAAAAGCTACATATAAAGTCTCTGAAATCGTAATCTTTTAACAAGAACGTTTATATCGTCAGTCACATTGGCAATATTTCATGATCGATGTCTCTTTGGTAATTGAAGAATCCTTAAAAGGACAGAGAAAGATCGTATTCGATCTTATTTAACTTGATCCCGGTCATGAAAAACCGGTTTTAGCGTTTCTTCGTTACACTTCGCACGCATTGTGTACGCCTCATCCG